GAGAAAATACAAGACCGAGAAAGTTCTGTTACTTATGTTTTGCAATCTTCTGACTTTACTATTCTCACTGTCTTGTTGGTGTCGTATACTAAATGTCAATAAAAAAAGTCCAATCTATTCTGTGGGTTCTTTGATTTAAAGTTTTACAATACACATCTTTTTCCTTTTTTTTGAAAATAAGAGTCAAAACAAAAAGCACAAAAGAGAATGAAAATAAAGATATAAAATTGAAAAAAAGGAAGTGAAGATTTTTACGTATTTATGCTTATTGGAAGCGTCCACATTTGACGTATATAACTTTTTTAAAGTTGAAACTTTTGTTATTTTTTTGCTTGTTTCGATTTATTTGTTTTTGTGTGCAAAGAATCCGAAAAAAAAAAACACTTTTAATTTTTCTTCATTGGAAACTTTTTCATTTTTTGCTTTTTTTTTTTTCTTGCTATTATAATAGATGCATAATTTTACTGCGGTTATTAAAGATGTCTTTCGGAAATAAAAATTTATGGTAAGAAGAAGAAACGGTCTGGTGACAGAAGAAAAGGAATAGAATTGGAATTATTTTGTTGCTGAGTGCCCAAATTTATTACGCATAGACAGAGTTTGTTCTTTCATTCTACTGATTTCCTTCTTCTTTATGTCTTCTCTTTCATCTTTATCTTCACCTTCCCTTTTCTTGTTTTCTGCTTTTAAAATAATCTGAGAGAAAACATGATCATTATTACTTTTTTGTTGCTGTTATCGTTCTTGTTTTGATATCATTAGCTGCAAAGGTCAGCAAAGATAAGTTAAAAGCTTAAAAAAGGCTGAAAGATCACTAGAAGCATCATTAACACTAAAATTTGTGCCACAATAAATTAAGCCAATTTAGTTTGTTGTACATGACAACAGCCATAATTTCTTTTCTTTTTTTTTTTTTTTGTTCCTGCTTTGTCATTTTGGTTGGTAAGCCTTTTTCAGTGTTGTTAATCGTCATTAATCTTCAAAAGAGTTTTTCGTTCGTCTTTTTTTTTTGTGATAATTCATTTTTTATTTTACTTTATCTTCTTTTTTTTTTTTTTACTGGTTAGGAAAACAACTGTGGATTTATAGAAGTTTTTCGATATTTGTATCTAGCTTTTTAAAATGCTCAGACTGATGTTGGCGGTATTGTTAAATGTTGACATCTGCCTACATTGAATGGTGTTTATGTCATCAGCGTTGTCGTTGTTGTTATTGTTCCGGACTACTGGAAGTTTCATTTTACTGTCGTTCATCTGCGTTGGAGAAAAAAAGTTTTTTTTTTTTTTCTAGGTTGAACGAATCATCAATTGCGCTTTCATTAAAATAACAATGATTGGAATTATTAATATGCCACCAGAATCACCGGCTGAGTTCTACAGAAATCGCCCACTGCGAAACGGTGAAACAGTGATATTCAGCGAACGAGAAAAGGCTAAAACTCCAGAATATTTTTTTGCTGCTGATGGTATTCGGCATGACTTAGGATATCAACAGGTAAATTTTTTTTTTTTTTTGTTTAATTATCTTACTAATTTACTTTATTGTATCTGTTATTGCTATTGTTTTTACCGCTGCTTTGTTTGCAACTGCTCTACTAATCAGTGCCAATCTATGTGGAAAGAGCAATTAAAACACTCATTTAACTTTTTTAATATGAAAGCCATAAACTACTAGTCGTTTCTTCCTCTTATTATTTTGCTTTCAAATAGATTGTTTAATGGCAGACCTGTTTTATTAGGCAAAAAAAGAAGACATTGTATGATAACAATTAAGTGCTTTTTAACGTCTCATAACAATATTTTAACAACAAACAGGAGCAGGTTCTCTTTTACAATTAGGGTTGGGTCAGAGTTTATTTTAACAAGACACTGCTGTGCCGAAATTGACAAAAAGCATCAATAGTCTGAATAGCTGATAAGTGTTGTCAAATTTTTTAAATTAAACATAATTTTAGTGATGATGTTTAGTGACTTAAAGTGGGTGATAACTTTGATTGACGGCTAACATATGCGTCCGTAACAATACTATTTTATACATTCACTATTGGTTTCTTTTAAGGAATATCTTTTTTGTTTTTCTGTCATGTATAATTTTGCATTATCTACACCGTCCAACTATTTTTAGTCTCAAAGCGCCGAAAAATTATGGGAAAAAACGTTAAAGCGTTCAATAATCTGTAGATTAGCAGCTGAAACTGAAGGTAGACGACGATCAATCTCATGCAGTGGTATTGATGCTGATGTTGTTTTGCTCGACAAAAGTTCAAAAAGAACTTTTTCTTCTAGTGAGTGTTGTTGTCAAATACAGTAAAGTGGAATGAAGACACAAAAACCGAAAAAAAAAAGAAAACGGAGCAGAGTTTTTTTATAATTTGCAAAAAAAAAAACATTATCATGTTTTTGAACATTTTTTTTTTGACTTTTATGGAAGACGCCAGAGTCTTAATGATTCTAATCGAGTCTTGTGCCAATGCGTTATATTTTTTTGCCTTCTTTAATTTGATGTTATTCTTTCTGTAGGTGAAAGTAACGATTCATTAATGGACAGTGATACTGTAAATGTATCAAACCTGAAACCACGTTCCAATTCATCAGGTAAATTGAAAACGTCGCCAAGAGGATCACATGAACACCGAAAGACGTCGGCATTTGCTCGTGCTAGCAAATTCTTTTCGATATCTTTACCTAAAATATCGATTCTAAAGTAATCGAGAAAAACTATGGAACGATTATTGAGAAACGATTGTCTTTTTTTTTCATCTCATTTTGTTTGTGTTGTCTAATTATTGCTGTACCATACTGTTGAAAATTTCCCAAACTTTGTCTTATCTTCTTCCTTGTTTAAGTTATATTTTTTCATGTCTGTGTAATATACTCGGTGGAAGCATTAAGAAAGAAGAGGACAAAGACCATGAAAAAAAACAAACAAACTAATAAGCCTTCGTCGTCAGCTGAGATAGACTGATCAAAATAAAGAAATTATAGCATTAAGGAAAGTAACAGCAGTTAATTAAAGTTTTTTAAGTCTTTGGTTTTGTTGTCAAATGACTAATCGATTTGAGAAACAGTTTTTTTTTGTTTTTATAGAGATCCTCCAAAAAACTTTTCTTTGTCTGCTACAATCATTTTCATGTAAAATATTTCGTTAAACAATATCGTTTATACAAAGTCTCTCATTTGGTGACAGCTGACCGTCCATTGGTGTTACTTACTTTTTAATTCAAAAAAAAAGTAAGTGGATATTGTTAAATTATAAGAGTTGATCTCATCTTATGCATAATACTTATTGTAACTTAGTTACAAAGAGCAAATGTTTTTTCTTCTATTCGTAAAAATACTCTAATTTTTTTTTGTGATAAATAAATGCTACAAAACAAAACTTTTGTAACACTTCACGA